TAAAAACTATTTTTGAAATTGAGCTAAATAAGACACTAGACAGGTAAATCTGCTGAAATAGATGTAGGCAAGTGTATCTACAATGCACTCCAAATGAAAATAATCCATCTTGAAATAGTCATTTTGGATGATCTGAACTATTCCCCTTTCATTAGCCTGATAGAGATTTACTACACTCATAAGTAAGTGGATCTGAGTGTTATTAGCACTAGCCATAATACGATTAATAAAACATTTGGACTACATGGGAGTTTTACAAACTCATTTCTAATTAATTTAAATGAAAAACATGTCCACACTGCCTCCATATCTGGGCTTCAATATTTCTTCTGAGTTTACTTCTTAATCCTGGGATTCCATGAATTGAGACTAAAGTTCTGTTACATTCATTCTCTCTAATGGTGCATAATGGGGAAAAGGAAATAAGAAATTCTGTCAAAAGGAAAACAAGAAATCTTGTCTGAAGAATCTTCATTCATGGGGCGCCTGGGTGGCTCAGTCAGTTGAGCATCTGACTTCAGTTCAGGTCATGATACCACAGCTCGTGGGTTCGAGGCCCACATCAGACTCTGTGCTGACAGCTCAGAGCCTGGAGCCTGCTTCAGATTCTGTCTCTCCCTCTCTCTCTCTCAAAAGTAAATAAACATTAAAAAAATTTTTTTTAAGAATCTTCATTTATGGGGCGCCTGGGTGGCGCAGTCGGTTAAGCGTCCGACTTCAGCCATGTCACGATCTCGCGGTCCATGAGTTCGAGCCCCGCGTCAGGCTCTGGGCTGATGGCTCAGAGCCTGGAGCCTGTTTCCGATTCTGTGTCTCCCTCTCTCTCTGCCCCTCCCCCGTTCATGCTCTGTCTCTCTCTGTCCCAAAAATAAATAAACGTTGAAAAAAAAAAAAAAAGAATCTTCATTTACTTGAAGCTCATACCTATTGCAACAAATACAAATATTATTTTGGTTTAAAGAAAGGGTAGGTCATGATCATGGGGTTCTTTACACAAACTGTTACAGGCTTGTATACCAAAAGGGGAGGAAAAGGCCAATTTTCTGTGCAAAAATGAAAAAAAATTTAAATAGAATGATAAAATAAAAAGTGGGAAGCTGTATATAAGGAAGATTTACAAGTCTATCTTGTAATCTATCACAAGGCAATCTATCACTTATTTGCAGCAACTAACACAGAAGCACTGCTATCAAAAGAACTTACAACATACAGTGAAAATGGTTTTAGTAGGATTTGATGTCAACAGACATATGTAGTAACTGACTAACTTTAAAGATTCATTTGGAGCTATCCACCCATCTGAAAGATGAATTCCAGAAAAACATGCAAATGGCCCACTCAGCAGAAAATGGAAAGAATATATTCCTGCTAGCATAGTGCTAACATCCTGTATTATAACTTGCCTAATACTTGCTAAGCACCCATTATGTATGTAACAGGCTCAGTACTCTGGAGTATCAAGAAATGGGACTAAATTTTTAAATTTTTAGTTTATTCTTTGATCTCTTAAAACTCGTTCAAAGTAGGCATCCATGAATGTTTATTAAATTTAATCTGATTATTTGTAGAGCTCTGCACATTTTACTTCAATGACTTTCTAAGGCTAAAGAACCACATGTTGCTTTGGCTCAAATTAGAGCTGATATTCTGTTAACTGAACCCCTATACCGGGCCCCCATGCAAGAGGGTAATGAGGGATGATGATGCATAATTCACAGTAGAAGTGGTGCGAGAGAGTGGCAACAGACAGGGAGAAAAGGTCTATTAACAAAACAGATTCAACAGAACTTTGCAGCTAATTGGTTACGGCAAAGAGAATGAGAGATTTTAACTTGAAATATTTTTTTAAACAGGGTTTTGTGTTGTTGTTTGTTTGTTTGTTTGTTTTTTTGGTTTTATTTACCTATTTCGACAGAGAGAGAGAGAGAGTGTGAGAACAAACAGGGGATGGGCAGAGAGAATCTTTTTTTTTTTTTTTAATGTTCATTTATTTTTGAGAGAGAGAGAGGGAAGCAGAGAGAGGGACCCAGGATCCAAAGCAGGCTCCGTGCTGACAGCAGAGTGTCCGATGCAGGGCTTGAACTGGTAAACCTCAAGATCATGACCTGAGCCGAAGTCTGATGCTTAAACTTCTGAGCCACCCAGGTGCCCCAGAAAAGAGAGAATCTTAAGCAGGCTCCACGCTAAGCTGTCAACCTGAAGCCTGACTCGGGGCTGGAAGCCACAAACCATGAGATCATGACCTGAGCCCAAATCAGGAGTCCCCTGCTTAAGCAACTGAGACACCCAGATGCCCCTTTAACTTGTATTTCTAAACACTAGGTCAACATTTAGTTTTTGATTTAGTGTCTAGCAATATTTACTGACTTGTTTGTTTGTTTTAAGATTTTACTTTGTAAGTAATCTCTACAACCAACATGGGGCTCCAACTTACAACTCTAAGATCAAGAGTCACATGCTCTACTGACGGAGTCAGCCAAGCACCCCTGCTAACTTGTTGTTTTTTTAATGTTGATTTATTTTTGAGAGTGAGACCACAGAGCAGGGCAGGGGCAGAGAGAGGGAGACATAGGATCTGAAGCAGGATCTGCACTGTCAGCACAGAGCGCTATGTGGGCTCGAACTCAGGAACTGTGAGGTCATGACCTGAGCTGAAGTTGAATGCTTAACTAAGCCCCCCAGGCACCCCTTCTCACTTGTTTTTTTTAAATGCTTAGGATCTCTGCCTCTCCCCAATCTCCAAAGAACTTTATTCACTAACTTGTAAGTTCTTAAAGGCAGGGATCACACCATAGTTATCTCTATATTCCAAACACTCAGGTCAACATACACACTGTGTATAAATGTTTGTTGAATGAATAATTTCCACCATTCATCTCCCCTTATCTTTTCTTCCATTTATTTCCTTTATTTCTGTGTGTGTGTGTGTGTGTCTCGTTTCCATTCACATCTATATGCTTGTCTCCAATTTTCCCTTCATATCTGTTATTGCTTGTTCCCTCTCCCCATTTCCCACCTTACCCCTATCTCTTCCATTACTGACCACAGTAGAACTAAAATGTATTCTTTTTCAGTCTATTGAACTAGAATTGATGGTCTCTGTTCTTAAGTTGATTTAAATAGATCATTTTTAATTTTTCTTAAATTTGTTTTTTACTATGGGACCCTCAATTTATTATTTTTTAAAGTTGATTCTGAAAAAAAAAAAAAAAACCTGTCACTTTTGTTCTAAATGGAAAAGAAAGGGATCCAACAGATTTTTGTGTTGGGGGAGTATTCAAATCTTGAAAATGTTACAAAACGGGGGGGAAGCTTAAACACTAATCAGAAGGAAAAAAGTGTGAAAAATTTTTTTTTAAAATTTTTTTTTTCCAAACGTTTATTTATTTTTGGGACAGAGAGAGACAGAGCATGAACGGGGGAGGGGCAGAGAGGAGAACACAGAAGTCGAAACAGGCTCAGGCTCTGAGCCATCAGCCAGAGCCTGGCCAGGCTCAAAACTTCACCCGGGCCTTGAGAGGTCGTGACCAACAACAGAGCTTCATCACAAGCGCCCCCCAAAGAATAATAAGAAAAATTTAAAACTCCCCAATTTTAATCAGATATCTAAAAAGGTTATTGGAGAGGAAAGTGAAAGTTGAAAGCTCAACATGTACTTTTATTCCATTATCTAAAAATCTAGACTATAGTTGAAAATGTTATATTGGACATCTTCTTTCAACACTAAGTACCTTATTTTGAAGTCTCTTATTTCTACTTCATTTTTAAATGTTTACACTTTGTGTTATGTTATATTTGTAACCTGAAGAAAAATGAACCTTCTTCCTTTTAAGTACTTGACTGTATGCAGTTTGCAACGTAAAGGAGCTTTTCCATCTTAGTTGGAAAGCAGCAATTTCCTTTTAACCTCTTACTCATAGCCAGGTAACACCTCAAATCATTCAGCAAAACGACAGGATGCAAGAATATAAAAGTGAAAGAGACAGTTCTTCCTCCCATAATATGTAAAGCTGTTTCTTTCCTCTGTGAAATAGTAGCATTGTCCCTACACAAATGTTATTTCTGATAAAAAAAAATAATAATAGTAAAATCCACTTAAAAGGAAAAAATTGGATTGCCTACCTCAATTTTGTATAAAATGTAATTTTTATCAACAGAAGCCAACCAAAACGTGACTTTAAGAGTAATTATATTAAAATACAGGATCATGTAGACCAGAAAACCTCTAGATTTCTTTAATGTTTTTTTTTTTTTCCCTCAAGGAACCCACATCTCATGATCATAATAAGCTTGTAATCAGACTTGTGCGCTGAGGGGTAAGACTCATCCTCCCAATTCAGACCAGCCAAATGGGTGTCACGTAAGAGAATCTCATTACATTTAGTAAATAGAAAGGACACACAGGGCGAGTAGACACTGCAAGCCGCGGCCTCAAAAACACAAGGCAGATGGGCTTAGAAACAGGAAAGCCTCACGAAATGATTCTCCGGCCTGACAACGACATCTGAAAGTAGCCTCCCCCACCCTACAAAGGCGTACCCTGCCCAGGAAGGATGGCGAAGGCACCTAGCATGAACACATCGTACGCAGTTCCAGGTCAAGTTAGAAGTTAGGAAGACCCAGGTTCCGCGAAAATAACAAATACTGAGTGAGCGTGCACAGTGTGCACGCCCCCCCCCGGGCAGGGAAGACCAACAAAGATGTATAAACCAACTCTGTAAAATCATACAGCATGCACCCACACCTCTCCCCCCACAACGGATCCCAAGCGCCGGAGGGCACGCTGACGTCCAGGCTGCGGTGAGAGACCTGTACAGACCACGCCAGGCAAGCCGCAGAGGGCTGAGCCCGGCCAGGGAGCAGAAGCTCAGGGGGTTCATCCCGGAGGGTGGAGACGCAGAGGCACTCCTAGCCCCTCACCTGCCGGGGTGCGCGGGACAGAGCGCAGGGCGGAGGCGGGAAGCACCGGGAGCGGCCGCGCGGCCGCGCACAACCCTCACCTGGCAGAAGCACCTCTGCGCCGCCGTCTCCGGGGGCTGCTGCCCACCGCGACCCGAGCCGAGCAGCCACACGGCCCCCACGAGGCCGATCAGGAAGCCCCAGCGGCGGCCCATAGCCGCTCTGGCCGCTCGTCGCCCGGCCCCTCCCGGTCCCAGCACTCTGGCGCAGGCCGCGCGTCCGCTGATGAAGCCCGCGCGGGCCGGCCCCCGGCGACGCCCCACCTCCCGGCCGCCTCCCAGGCCCGCCCTCGGCTCTCCCGCCTCTCAGCGGCCGCCACCTCCCGGCTGAGCCTGCGGACGTGCCAAGGCGCCCGCTCCGGCCGCCCGGGGCCTCGGGTCGGCTTCCTTCCCCGCGCGTGAGGCTGACGCACGAGCCCGCTTCCCGGCTCGGCCCCGCCCGGAGCACCGCGCCCGTCCCCGGCCCCCAACGCCCGGTGCCTGGAGCCTGGCCCGGGCGCGCCCGCCGCAACCCCAGCGCGGGCGTTGGGGGTCCTTCTCGCCGCCACCGCGCGAGCGAGCGAGCGAGAAACCAGAGGGGTCTGGGTCTCCCCGCAGGGCCCGCCCCACCCCGCGCAGTCCCGGCCAATCCTTCGGTCTCTCCAGACGAGGAAGTCAAACCGTACCAATTACGCATCCACAGTGTCCCTGACAGTCTTAAAGCTGAAAGGGATTATGAGTGATAACCTAGACCAGGTCTGCATAATAGAGTTTCTAGTCGTCACATCGAAAGAGCAAAAAGAAACAGGTGAAGTTCATTTTAATAATCTATTTTATTTAACCCAATATGTGCAAAACATTTCAAAATACACTCAATATTAAATTATCCATATTTTATGTGTTGTTTTTGAAATCTGGTGTGCATTTAATGCAAACTAGCCACATTTCGTAGTCAAATGTAGCGAGTGGCTACTGTATCCGTCAGCACAGGTGGAAACTACCCTCTCATTTCATAGGAGGAAACAGGCCCAGAGTGAGGCGATGATGTGAGAGCAAGGGGCGAGCTGGATAGTGAGAGAGCCATGTCCTATAAATCCCAGCCATGGGTCTAGTCTAAAAGCCGCCCCCCCCCCCAGGAGAAATTTTCATGGTGAAACTGGAAAGCTTCCCAACACCTTACACATTAAAATTTCAAATTAAAAATTTTTTTGGTATGTCATTTTTTAAAAGCCACCATTTAATGAAGTAGCTTAGGATATGGTAGGCCCCAAATAGGTTTTACTTCTGTTCTCTAGCTGAGAAAAATAAGCGTAGAAAGTTTACATATGTTACTCAAAGTCACATGGTATGATAGAGATGAGACTCAAACTCAGATTATTTCTTACTTCAATGCCCATAACCTATGGTCTGTCCATCACTTATTAATCCAATCTCCCTCTTTACCTAGGAAGTTCGTTTTCATCAGACCTGTGTATGGATCTATTTATCTCTCCAGGGCCCAACCCAGCTCACTCATTCCCTCTTCTATGTGGTCTTCTTGGTTTCCTCTTCACCCATTTCCAGTCTCTAAATGAGTTTTGATTCAACAAACTTACTCTATGCCAGACTGAGCTTGACATTACAGATATGAAGATACAGAAGGCCCAATCCCTGCACATGGAGAGACACCCCATGGAACTTAACAGGTGATCTTTGATGACATTTCTACATCATGTTTCTACAACTGAATCGTAATCTCTTTAAACTCCTTAAGCAGGGATTATGTCACAAACATACCTGTGACTCTCAATACCTTAACAAAGCTTCTCTTTGCAAGTGTTTGTAAAATGAATGAATGTTTTATATTATATATATATTATATACATTAATGTATATAATATATATTAATACTGGCTACAGTATTAATATCTGAAGATATCAAAATATCTATCAAAAATAAGAGACATAATATGAAAATGGAAAAACTAAACAATAAAGCCTAAAACTGCAGAAGGAAGCAATCTGAACATGAATCAGCTCTGGATTTCGCCCTGATGCAATAAGCCTGTAATTTGGGAGAGCTTAAAACTGTCAATGTTCTCAGGATGAAAGCTTCCATTCCTAAGATTTGAACTCTTGCCCACAACAAATTTAGCAACCTTGTAATCAGAAACAATCACCATATAAGACTATTTTTTATTTTATTGTTTTTTCAGCTTTATTGAGGTATAATTGACTAATAAAATTTTAAATGTATGTCATAATGATTTGGTATACAGATAACATTGTGAAGGGATCCCCCCCATCAAGTCCATTAACACATCCATCATCTCACGTATTTACCCTTTCTTCCTTCTTGGTGAGAACATTTAAGTTCAACTCCCTTAGCAAATTTCAATTTTACAATACAGTGTTTCCAACGATAGGCACCATATTATACATTAGATCCTCAGAGTTTATTCATCTTATATTAGAAGCTTTATACCCTTTTACCAAAGTCTCCCTATTTTTCTTTTTTTAATTTCACATATAAGTGAAACCATGCATTTGTCTTTCTCTGTCTGGTTTATTTCACTTAGCATAATGCCCTCAAGGCCTATCCATGTTGTAGCAAACAGCAGGGTTTCCTTCTTTCTCATAGCTGAATAATAACCCATTGTATATGTATACCACACCCCCTTTATCCATGTAGCCATTGTTGGACACTTAGGTTGTTTCCAAACTTTGGCAATTGGGAATAGGCGACATCAAACGTGGGAGGGCAGACACCTTTTCAAGATAATGGTTTCATGTACACCCAGAAGTGGGATTGCTGGATTTTGCTTTATTATCTTGATAATTATCATTTTTCCTTTCAGATTTGTAAGGGACTTTAGAATGTGCAAAATACAGTTTTGTGCACCTGATGTAACTACACTGACACTTCCCTAAGAATCCTTCAATTTGGTCCTTTGTGTGAGTTCAGTTTTTCCACTCTGACTTCTCTGGCAGTCATCTCACCTGTGTTAGGGCCTAGGCAATAACTCATTAGTCATTCAGGAACTATTAAGGAGCACCCACAGGGTACATAGTTCAGCCTTTGCTTTCCAAAAGTCCAGCCTCCAATTTATTATACCTTAGCTAAACAACATTAAATTTTTTACAGATGAACAAGGCCATCTAGTTATTCTAATACTAGTGATTATAACAACAACATAACTTAGATTTAGTGTACACAGCATTTCTTGATGGAATTCTGATTACCATGTAAACAACAGCTGTTATTATTATTTTTAATGACCAAAGCAGGAAATGGCTTGAGCCCAATTTCTCAAAATGGGGCATGGAGATTTACGTAGGGAGCTTCTCGGTACGTAGGGAGCTTTTCTGGCACTGAGTAGGCTAGAAGGAACTAATTTAAAGAGAAAAATTTGGTCAAGGAAAAGGAGTATTATGACACTCAAGAGGAAAAAAGGCTAAGTAAAAACCTAAAGGTTTTATTACATCTATATCTAATATTCGTTGACTATAAATGTGCACATGGTACATTGCTAGAATTTTCTCTCAAGATGCTTCAGATTATTTGAGCTGGGGGAGAAATACCACCTAAGCTCTATCTTCACCTCCTCTCCCTCATATTCCTGGAAGAACAAGCTACATATAGTAGAAACTGATAAGTTCCCATTTATACCTTACCCCACTGTGCGGCCTGATTTCCAACTCTACCTTCCTACTCCTCTATACTTGGCCTTGTTACGGCCAAATTAATTACCATTTTCATGAGATCATGAAATCTCTGCTGCATTTTGACAATGCTGATTTCTCCTTCCTTCGATTCTACTTTCTATGTACCAAACACTCCAGATTCTCCTTACACATTTCTTTTTTAAAAGCATGTTTATTTATTTTGAGAGAGAGAGAGAGAGAGAGAGAGAGAGAGAGAGAGAGAAAACACAAAGAGAGAATCCCAAGCAGGCTCCATGCTGTCAGCACAGAGCCCAATACGGGCTTGATCCCATGAACCATGAGATCATGACGCGAGCTGAAATCAAAAGTCAGATGCTTAACCGACTGAGCCACCCAGGCACCCCTCCCTCCTTATACTTTTCTAATATTATTTAACTGTCTCCTTCGTGGGCTTTCCCCCAGCCCACCTCTAAGATGTGAGTGTTCCCCAGGATTCTATTCTCTGTCCAGTCCTCTTCTTCTATACTCGCCCCTGGAGAAGTTTGACCAGTCTCATGATTTTAAATACCTCCTCCCTGCCAATGACTCTCAGATCTATTTTTCCACTTCAGATCTCTCCCTTGAGCTTCAAAATCCAACTGCCTATTGGACACAACCATCTGCTTTTCTTAGAACTGTTTGGTCACACCACCATCCATATCTAGACACCTAGAAAGTAGGAAGCCACCCTCAGTTTCTCCCACTTTTTCACCAATGAATAGATTGGTTGATCTATTGATCAACCAAGTTTGCCAGTTCTTTCTTCAATTTAGTCCCTCCTCTTCATCTTTATGACCAAGGACTTAGTTTCAGCCCTTATTGTCACTCACCTGATTTATTGTCACAGTTTCCTAAATGATCATCCAGCCTCTAGGCTTGCACCTATTCCAAACAGCCTCCATGCTAGCCTAGTTTCTCAAAAATAGCAATCTGGAGCACCTGGGTGGCTCAGTCAGTTAAGCATCCGACTTCAGCTCAGGTCATGATCTCGCAGTTCGTGAGTTTGAGCCCTGCGTCAGGCTCTGTGCTGACAGCTCAGAGCCTGGATCCTGCTTCATATTGTGTGTCTCCCTCTCTCTCTTCCCCTCCCCAGCTTGCTCTCTGTCTCTCTCTCAATAAATAAATAACTAAATAACTAACTAAATATTTAAAAAATAGAAATCTGACCATGTCACACCTCTGTTTAAAATCTTCAATGCTCCCAACTATCTGAGGACTCAAATTCAAAATTCTCAGCATGACATTCAAGGTCGTCATGATCTGGCCTCACCTCTTTCTCTAGCTAGATCTCCAATACCTCTCTGCCTTATCGTCATTCAACTATTAACAATTCCCCACATAGACCCTTTTTCCACCCTCCATGTCTTTATTCACCCTATTTCCATTCCTGAAATGTCTTCTGCCCTGTCCCACACCAACTGCTCTCACTTCATCTGGCTAACTCCTTTAAGATTCAGCTCAGGCAACTGCTACCTCCATGAAGTCTTCTGTAACTCCTCTGTGCCTGGATTATGTTTCTCCTCTTTGGTTCCATA